CCTCTGAGACTGTTGCGGTGTTCAAGCGCCCACCATGGCCGAAGCGCCCTCTCAAGTGCGACAGAACTATGACTGGCACTGCGAGGATGCTGTCAACACCCACATCCAGCTGCAGCTCTATGCCTCCTATGTGTACATGTCGATGGCCGTCTACTTTGACCGTGATGACGTGGCTCTGGAGAACTTCAAGCGTTTCTTTTTGAGCAAGTCACACAACTGCCAGGCCAGTGCTGAGATGTTCATGCAACTGCAGAATAAGCGTGGAGGCTATGTCACCCTCCTTGACATCTCGAGGCCGGAACGCGACAGCTGGCATGGGGGCTTTCAGGCCATGGAATGCGCCCTGCACATGGAGATGATGCTCAACGAGAACCTGCTGAACATGCACGGGATGGCCAAGGAAAAAGGCGACGCCCACCTCTGCCATTTCCTGGAGGAAAACTGCCTGAATCAGCAGGTCGAAGTTCTGAAAGAGGTGGGCGGCTACCTGACCAACCTGCGCCACATTGGGGCCGTGGAGCATAACTTGGCTGAGTACCTCTTTGACAAGCTCAGCCTGTCATAAAGCTTCAAGTGGACTGAACTGGGATGTCCCCACTGCCATGGGGATTTTCTCTGGTCATAACACCTGATGTCCATGTTGTCTTTGAAGCAAAGTTCACTCATCTTCTGTTTCTATTCGACTGTTGTTCAAAATAAAATTTGTCTGCTTGCAGCAAAGTTAAAGTATCAAGTTGATGTCTAAATTCTTTGCGGACTGTGGGTGTAGCTTACTTGTTATAGTGCTTACCTAGTATTCAGGACAGCACGGAAAGCATCCCAACCATGGCAATAAACAAGGCTATGGTGGTACACACCTGAAATCATAGCTCTGTGGGGATAGAGGCAGGGATACCAATCCTTCAGTGCCATCCTCTGCTTTACAGCGAGGCAGAGGCCCTCCTAATCTACAAGAGAAGGTCCAATAAAATTACACCACCTCCAAAAATCCCTCTCACTTCAGAAAAAAAAATGAATGTGTATCTCCCGGGTGTTTTAAATTTGATGGTCAGGAGTATACTTTCGTTGTCATTCCCATTATTTTGTAGTTTGGAATATCCAGAAGTCTGGGAGTGGTGGAAGGGGGGATGGGAGGAGAGTGTTTTTGAGGGGAGACTGGGGGGCAGCAATTGGGATGTAAAGTGAATAAATAAATTCTTTAAAATGATAGGGTTGGGCCGGAGTGAGCAGGGTCACAGAAGGGAAGAGGGAAAAATAGATAGGGGTGGGCATCTAGGATAGGGGTGGGCCGGAGTGAGCAGGGCCACAGAAGGGAAGGGGGAAAAATAGATAGGGGTGGGCATGTAGGATAGGGGTGGGCCGGAGTGAGCAGGACCACCGAAGGGAAGGGGGAAAATAGATAGGGGTGGGCATATAGGATAGGGGTGGGCCGGAGTGAGCAGGGCCACAGAAGGGAAGGGGGAAAAATAGATAGGGGTGGGCATATAGGATAGGGGTGGGCTGGAGTGAGCAGGACCGCAGAAGGGATGGGGGAAAAATAGATAGGGGTGGGTGTCTAGGCAATTTCCTGACTTAGTTCTGTGGGATGAACAAAGAATGGATTTCCAGGAAAAGCAGAAGACCAGCACATGAAGAAGCAACAGCAGCAGGCCCCAGGACATTGAAATTGATGGTAAGAATATGAAACCCGCAAACACAGAAAAGAGAATGAAAATGACAAACTCTATTAGAACATCAGGAATATGAAAGGACCCCCCCAGAGCTACGAGTTTCTTAGGGACCTCACAGTCATGTGCTTAATAGCTTTCCAGGGCATTCCGCCTTTGAGGGTCCCTACCTGTCTTCCTGAGGCATAGCATTTCTGCCAGCTTTTAGCAATTTGAAACAGTTGATATGTCCTGGGAGAGGACAACACATGTTGGGCTGTTGCGTGAGTAAGGTCAGGAGTGGGTCCTTTTGGGTTGAATTGTGGTTCCAGTATGTCTTCTGCCCCAAGGGGCTGGGGGTGTGGCTCAGGGAGCCAGAGATTCTGGAAGGTGACTGTGTCCTCGCCAAGCAGTGCTGGACATATAAATGGTAAAACCATTTGAAAAACCATAACCCCTACTGAAAACATGATAAACAAAATGGTTGGACAACGTTGTCCTCATTGCAGGAGAATGGGTAAAGATATCATGCAAGAAACAATCAAAAACCTCTGCAGCATTTGCCCTAACTGTAGCAAGGCTGGAGAGTCCCTTACTTCCTTTTTCTATTTTAAGGTGCACACCCTGGAGAAGACCACTGGTATATTATGTTATTTTCTATTTCTACGATAAATACCGTGTCAAAGGCAACTTCTGGATGAGAGAATTTGTTTGGGATCATGCTTCCAGAGGGTTAGAATCCATTAAGCTCGAGTAAAGGCATGACAGCAGAATCAGAAACTGAGGGCTCATATGTTAAACCATTAATACAAAGCAAAGCACAAACTTGAAATGCTGTGATTCTTCTAACTCTCAGACTTCCTCTAGTATCATGTGTCCTTCAACGAGACCAAACCACCCAAGCCTCCTTGTATAGTGCCACCAAGTGGGCCCAAGTATTCGAATTCCTGATACTATGGTGGGACATCCCACTGAAATCACCACATTCCACTCCTTGGTGACAATTGTCTTGTGACCATATATAATATATTTCAAAATGCACTTAGTCTAAATTTAGAAGTCCCCATAGTTTTCCCACTATCAAAACATTGCTTAGGAAGCGCCTAGCCTCCCAGAGACTTAAAGTGCAAGAGTAGGGGAATACCCAGGGAGCCCCTACCCACTTAGAAAAGACAGGGTGTGCTGTCGAAAGGATTGAGTGAGTGAAAGGAGGGAGGCAGAGGTCAGGATGTATAGTGAAAAATTAAATCATATAAAAAACTTCAATTCTCTACTGAGTCTCTAGGGAATCTTTTGTCACTCCTTGTAAAATAAAAAAGTAAATGACATATTTCTGACATGTAATGGCACAGAATACACACTACTATTTCAGACAGGATGAATGAGGACATAGTGAGGACAATTTTGGACCAAAGCAATGCTGAAGCCCAGCAGGCCCAATGCCAACCCCTGTACGTCCATGGGAGATAGCACAGGGATTACATGGCTCTGCCCTTCCAGCTTTGCTGCCTATAGCACACTTTCCAACCCTTGGGCTGCTTTATAGCATCACAAATGGCCTCAGACACTTTTATTTCACAATATGGACGCTTAGCTGGGTGGGATCTTGCCACGAGTGTACCATATTCTTAGTTCTGTGCATATCATCAGGTGTTTCCATAAGGACATCAATTTCCCCAACAGCGACAGCCTGAAGCACAAGCTTTGACAGTAACAGTAACCTTGTCAGTCTCCCTGGCTTGCACATTTTGTATTTCCATCTGCCCCTTTTCCTCATTTTCATTATAAACTTACATAAGAATAATTACTAATAACCACATGACAGACTCAGTGTTAGCCTATCTTAAACCCTCTTACACACACACACACACACACACACACACACACACACACACTCGCACACACACAATTAGCCCATTACTTTTAAATTTAGCTTCAGGTAGGTTCTTAGCACACTGGCAGAAAGCAGCTGCATTTGTTGCCAAAATAGCCTACTAAGGGCTCCAGTGCAGTTGCTAACTCCGTTCCTCCTGAAACCTCTTGAGCTGGGCTCCTTCCACAGTAGCCATGGCTCTCAGCAGTACTGATTTCCAACCTCCTACTAGAACTCTGCTCACAGTGTTCAACTGCTTTTCAGCCCAAAGTCCTGAGGGAGAGCTGCTGCTGCTGGAACTCTTACAAGTGAGGCCTGCCTTTGTGGGAGGTGATGGGTGGCCTGGCTCCTAATTCAGAGCT